ATTCAGTTGACTTCCTTTGCTCTTTGGGTAAAGAACAGAATTCTTCAGTCATAAGTAAAAGGCATGAGAATATTGAGTGTTTCCGTAGTGGTGTTCCAGGTCTAGTAATTAGCTTTGAACAGTAGGATTGGTGGCGCTGAAGAAATCCCCACTTTTGTGGTTGTGACTATAATTTTGCTGTTGTTGTTTGCTGTGTCCATAGGTCTTTTCCTAGATTGAAAATTTATGTAAAACAGTTAGTATGTTTTATTCCTTTGTTTGCCAGCTTCTATAGTGATTTTTGTAAATTTCTGCTGTTATTCTAATATTTATTTATTTTCAAAAATTTATTTTTTTTCTCTATGGTTGCTTTAAAAAAATTTTTTCCCCCTGATCTTTGATGTTCTGCAATTTCACTACAACAGGTTTATATGTGAATTTCTTTTCATTTCTCCTGCTTGCTATGTCTTATGATTCCTGGGTTTGCAAACATGTTTTTCATTAGTCCGAAAAATTTTCATCCATTATATCTAAAAATATTATGTCTCCTTTCTTTATTTTTCTTGGACTCAATTTATGTGTGTATTATACATTGTCAATCTGTTATGCACATTTTCAATGTATATTGCATATTTTTAATCTTGTCTCAAGGTACTACCTTCTGTATCACTTTATTGGATTTACCTTAAAGTCTCTTAAATCTGCTCTTTAACTTGTCCATTATTATTTTTTATTTGAAGAGCTGTACTTTCCATTTCTAGTCCTTTTTTATTTTTATTGTCTATTCATTACTGATGGCTTTTTAAAAAAATTCTAAAATATTAAGGGGTACAAAAGTTTTTGTTACCTGGATACACTGTATAATGCTGAAGTCAACACTTTCAGTGTGTCCAACTCCTAGGCAATTTTCATTGTACCCAATATGTAAGTTTTTAATGTTCCCCCCTGCCCCATTCATAGTTGCCAATGTACTTTACATCTCTTTGTGCCCTTGTGTACCCATGATTTACTTCCCACTTATTAGTGAAAATGTGTGCTTATTTGCTTTTTTATTCCTGAGATACTTTTCTTAGGATAATGGTCTCCAGTTCCATTCAAGTTCTTGTAAAGGACATTAATTCATTCCTCTTTAGGACTGAGTAGCATTGCATGGTATATATATCACATTTTCTGTATCCACCCATAGCTTCTTATTGCAAACTTATCTTTGAGATTTCATCAGTCATTTCTGTGTATGCTTGACATACGACCCTATATATGTGTATGGTAATCTCAATATTCAAAGTTCTTGGGGTCTAAATATGTTGTTATTTCTGATGACTTTGATTAATAATGGCCGCTTCCTAAATGGCTTGTTAACTTTTTTAGTTGTAAACTGATTGTTTGGTCTTAACCTGTATCACCTGACTTGAAAAAGATTTCCTCCAGGTGGGAACTGTTGATCTTCCTGACAGTCAGGGTACCAGACCCATCTGGGATTCCTATACCCACATTAAGAGTTTAGTTTATCCCATGTGTATTATGCTTGGTTACCCAATTTGCAGGAAGAACATAGCTTTGTATTGAGAAGGCCATGCTGTAGGATCTACTTCAGAGTAAGCCTGCCCCTCCAGATACCCAGTTATTTCTGTCTGCAATTCCCTGCCAGGTCATGCTTTAGAAATTGAGGAATGTCTTTGAAGAAAACTCTTCTACTTATTGTGAGATTACTTCAAAGATTTGTCAAATGCAGAATATATTTGTTTTTTTTAAAGTGTACTAATTCCACAGAATGCCTAGTCACCTAAATGCCAAAATCTTAAGTTTACAGTTAGTTATTTAGGACTGATGATGTTATCCAAAACTATGAGAAAATAGACGACTTTGAGCTATTTAGGAATTCATATAAGTGTAGTTTTACTCCAAAATAACTAGGGATACATATGTCAGATCTTTTACTGTAAGATTTTGTGTTAAACTCAGACAGACAGAACCCCATGCAGCCTTTGATCTTTGTTTTCTTCTCTCCTGCTCATTTCTCTTAATTCTATTCCCCGAAACGCATCTGGAAGTCAGTATAGTCTTATGCAAACATCTCCTTTTGCTTCCACAAGTCAAGTCAATTTCTAACTTGTAAATATGGTTCTTCCCTTTCTTGAAACTCTGGGGAAATTTAGAGTGGGTTTCTCTCTGGGATAAACAATGCATGACACTTATTTCCTTTCCCTCTCTAATTCCCATGGCAGATATCACTATTTGATTACAACACTTTGTTGTTACTCTCATTGTTGTGCACAAAGCATTCATAATTCTTCTCCATACGGAGCCCCAAATATTCAAAGCCATTAGATTGGAGTTTGTGCTGCAGGGAAAGCCTGGCTTCATTGCAGGTATGAAGACCATTTACGGGGAACCCAAGTTGGGGGGGGGGAGGATTTTCAACATATTTTTTCTCTCTGCTTCAAATCTGGAACAACTATGGTTTTGTGAACAAAATGCACATATGTAGCCAGGAAGGGAAATTAAGTTTTTAAGTTGAAGTTCTAATCCAAAAAAAGAAGAGTGAGTAAAATATAAATGTGCAGGTAATTGAATTATCGCTGTGAAAATTATCACTGCATAGCTATATTGTATATGTAGATGCAATTTGTTCATTTTATTGCTGTTTAAAATTCTATTGAATTAATTTACCACAAGTTATTTATTCATCTACTGTGATAGACATTAGGGCTGTTTCCAGTATTGTATATTAAAAATAGTGCTACTGCACAAAATGATGACTAAAGTTAATAAAATTGTACTTTATTATACTAGGAATTTTTGTCAAATAAGTAGATTTTAGCTAATCTTGTCACAAAAAAGTAACTACATGACATGATGGACATGTTAATTTCCTTCACTACAGCAATCATTTTACTATCAACATGTATTCCATAAAATCATGTTGTAAACCTCAAATATACACAATAAAATATATTTTAAAAAATAGTGCTGCTGTTAACATTCTGGTCCATGTCTTTCCTACCACATGCATATACATTTCTGTTGGGTACATACCTAATTATGAAATAGCTAAGTCATTTGTAGAATAAAATTTACCATCAAAACCAGCACACTTTGAGAGTTAAAGGGGATACAATTAATCATTATGCCAGAGCAACAGGAGTAAATCTATTCTATCCTGTGCAAACTAGGATACATGGAAAGTCTGCCTACAGAGTATGTACATGTCCAAATTTGGTAGATGATGCTAAATATTTTCCTGAAATTATATAAATTACATTCCCACCAGCAGTGTATGAGAGGTTCAGTTTTCTATATCCTCAGCAACACTTGGCATTAGAGTATGAGTAGTATTTTCTCATTTTGTTTTAAATTAGCATTGCTGTGATGATTGATTAAGCAGTTCAGAGATGCAATGGCAATTTAGATATCCACTTGTGTGAATCCCTCTTTTAATGTCTTGTCCATTTTTCTACAATGCATCTGAGGTTTTTTGTTGTTGTTGTTGTTCTTATTATAGATGTTCTTTTTATATTCTGAAGAGAAGCCAGAATGCACTTATATGCATTTCTATATAGGTTTAAAAAATAGCTTGTCAAGATGAACAACAACAACAACAACAAAAAACAATTTTATTTTAATTGGGATTGCATTGTACCTACAGATCAAAATGGAGAGAAGTGACAACTTTGTATGCAAGTTATCTGTTGTCTTTTGTCCCCTATAGTTCCACAAGCGATTTCTCTTTGAAGACAGAGATAATAAGTAATACAAGATGCCATTGCTTCACTCCTCGAGTTTAGCTTAGAACAGAAGGTGACAGCAACAGAGGGTACTGCAGGCTTGTCAGTTGCTTGGAATCTAAGGTAAGAGTAGAGTCCATTGTTGGTGCAAATTGCATCCCCCCCCCCTCAGCAAAGGAGACAACATAATGTCATTGCCACATTCCCTTTCCCACCAGTGCACAAAGACATCGTTCTAACAATACACTCCACAGATCTAATGAGAAAATTAGAAATCCTATAGTCATCTGGAACTAGATATAAGCTATTAACAAAGAGGTTATCTACTGATCTTTCCACTGCTAACTGCTCTTCTTGCATCATTCTGACTTAAATCTCTCAGCATGAAGGGCCAACTCGATCCCCTTTTATAGACATAAAATTCTTTGTTTTTTTTCATATTTGTAAATCTCTGCATTTTTTATGACCATCTGTTCATTTTCTGTTTCCCAGGATACAGAGTAGAGTTCAGTCCTAGATCCTCTATTCTTTTTCCTCTTTCTTTTTATTCAAGCAAATTCTATTTTTTCTTACTTTTTTTTTTTTAAACTCCTGGAAGAGTCCAAGACCTAATAGCATTCTATCTGAAGTGATAGCCACTTATTTCTCTTACATACCATCAAGATTTCCTTCCCTGTCTTGCCATGTCCCAGTTCTCATTAACACAGCGCCAGATTTCACTCATGCTGGCGAAACAATTTCTGTCAATCTCCCTTCAGTAATTATCTTAATTCCCACAGAAAGCTCTTTTTATCCTAAAGGTTCAGAGACCCATTCTGTAGAAATGATTGTGATTTCTTTGTAAGCTTTCAAGTTGTTTTGTTCGCAGTTTTCTGGGTAACTATGACAAGGATGTTTTAGCAAGAGTGTCATATGATTAAGACAGGGCTGGGCAAATACTCAAAATCATTCTGTATTCTTTCACTTCTAAGACACATTGCCTTAATATTCCTCTATTTTATTCTACTCAAAAATTCTCTGGGACTAGCCCTTTTAGCTCTTTAAAAAAATATGGTTTTCATGTAACTGATCAATTGTTGTATAGTTATGAAAGCGTTAGCGCCAAGCAGCTACATGGGGGCTGAGTTGTGTGGCGTTTGGACTTAAGTGTTTTGGAGTTAAGAAAAAAATCTTGGTTTCGCTCCCATTTTGTCAAATGATCATGTATAATTGTCTTAATCAGGTCTGTTAATGTACACTGTAACAAATTACCTTACAATTTCAGTGGCTTAACACAAGTGCATTTATTTATAGTTCTCATGAAGTCCCGTTCAGATGTTTCTCAGCTTGCTTGGGCAACCCTACATAGTAACTGAGAGATCCATGCTCCTTCTGTGTAATGACTCCTGCCATCCCCTAGGTGTTCTGCCAAATCTCTGCATCTGTACAGCAGATGAGTGTGTAGCAGAACATAAATCATCACACAGAACATTCTGGGGGCAAAGGGAGAAGTGGTGAACGTCATTTCCTTTCACATTCTGTTGGGTTTAACTAGAAATATGGCCCCATCTAGCTGCAAGGATACTGGAAATTGTAGTCTTCCATGTTCTGAAGAAAGAAAAAAAAATTAAGCAGTTAATACAGGGAAAGTTCCTTTATTGACGTTTCTGCAAGTGTAAGATGGAGGTAATAATGGTGTGAGTATTCCTGACCTTAGAAATTGTGATAAATGTTTATTATTATTATACTTGGGAAGGATGGCACTATGGCTTTTGAGACCCAACTTTATTTGCAGTAACATTAAAAGCTCTTGAAATATGGGGAGCCCCAGAGGCCAAAGGGACCTGAGAAAGCAATTTGTCATGTACATCCAGAGAGGATAGGGTAAGAGGGCCTCTATCACCTGCCAACTCAGCAAAGAGATCTATAGATTGCCACTGGAATGGTCCACAGAGCAGATTTTTGCTATCAGACCATTTTCATTTACACTAAAGCAAGAGGAATTCTCAACCTGATACCCTTAGATTCCTGGGACTCAAAGGGAGGGAGAGGGGGAGTGCTGTGAACACCCTGAGATTGTGTGCAAATGAATATGTGTGGCTCTACACAGACTTCTCCTAAAGAGAGAATTTCTAGTTTCATCACCGTTTAAAAGGGTTCTGTGTCTTATAAACATCAAGAACTATTGGTCATCAAGAAGCAAGTACTCTCTAAAATTTATTATGTCAAGGTTGGGATTTAGTTAAGTACCTGCGGGCCTCTATTTTGACTGGAGCAGTGAGAAGCCATGAGGAAAAAGGGCAGGTGGAATCCTGTGTCCTCCCTGTTGTGTTGCAAACAACTGTGGAAATGGCGATGTCTTTATTTTGCCCTTAGCAAAGCGGTTTATTTTTCTGACGCATTATGTGGGCCGCTGCATTTCTAGACTTCCAGTTTTGTCATTGATTCCATCTTTTAAAAATTTGCGCCAGTGAGCTTCCTGTGTTGTTTCCCTGTTGGAGCCCATTTTCCTTAATTGAATTATATTGACTAGATGCTATCACAGCCTCGGCACATCCTACAGAACATGCTGGACTGTGTTCTGATGCTACCAGTTTTGATCAGCGGGAGTTCACTTCTCTGCTCCATTGCTAAATGGACTTTCTTTTTTTAATTAGGGATGGATGCCTCCCATCTTTTACTCTGCCAGCTTTCCTAGTGACTCTTTACTTCGGTGAAGCTGTTATCCTAATGTTGTTTCCTGCAGATTTTTGCAGAGTGGGGCGACACTGACCTGTATATTGAATAGTATTTGCTGAATTCAGAGTTCAATTGTTCAGACTTCTTGGTTAATTACCAGCATTATTGAGAAGGTAAAATCCTTTTCCAAAAACCAGGTAAAGTAAAAAGCTTAATTTAGAAAATGATAAATGGCAAGTTCTCAAGAGATGTTTGAAAATAAAGGCAGATATTTGATTAAAGGGGGGTGACTCTCAAACTCCACATTTGGTTCTCTTATCCTCCTCTTTCCTCTTTCCCCCAAGTTTCCATCTCGGTAATGCAATCATCTCCCACGTGTTTAGCTGGAAACCTGGACATCCTGATCTGCTTTGTCTCCTCTTAATGTCTATACCATAGAAGTCTTTTATTTTACCTTCGGAACTATTGAATCTTTCAGTCAATCCTCTCCCACTCTACCTCCTTTTCACACCCATGCTTTTCATACAACCCTTGAGCTCCTGATTAGTCTGTTCCTTCTACTCTTGCCACGTCTGACACTCTCTTCAGGTAACAGTAATCTTGCTTCACATGTAGCAGAGTATGTAATCCTGTTACAACCCTCATGAACATCACTGCATTCAAAAAATTAACATCCTATGTCCATCTGCAGAACGCTGACTATCTGGATCTCATGGCGTGCACTCTGCTTGCTTCTTCTCTTTCTGCAGGTCAATCTTACATTAGGGACTATGGATATGTTGTTATCTCTGCCTGAGATGTTTTCCCCTTCTTCCTCTGCACACTTCATTCCTTTTCCTCCTGGGTTCTCAACTTTGTCTTCTCAGAGATGCTTTTTTTAACTGCCCGAGGATGTTCCTATTCTCCTTATTCAGTCCTTCAGTATTTCCTCTTTAGCACTTATCACAATCTGTAATCTTGTTCTGTTTTTCTTTACCTGTTGTTTTGCCTACCGTCACACTATAACATAAAGTCTTTGTGTACAGTGATCATAACTGTCTTGTTAACCTGTTTTGGAAAAGCCACACTATGTTTATGATGAATTAATAGTTCATTATGTTGATCCTTGTCAAGCCATTCTAGAACTTCCTTGTACTTAGTGATCAGAGGGGATGAGATGACGAGGTTCGGAAGATCATAGCAGGCACGATACTTCTTCATCCATTCATAGAACATATTTTTATTATGTTGCTTAGCATGTGCCATGCGAATGCTAGGAGCTAGGAGATTCCATGGTCAGAGAAATACTGTTTCCCATGTCTTCAGAAAGCTTAAAAACTAGTTCAAAAGAACAAGTTTCCTCAATAATCAAAGAATTAATATACATTTGTAATTGCAATAAATGCTACAAATGAGAAGTCACAGGTGCCATGAGAACACCTGCAAGGAGGAAATGAAGGAAGAACATTCAGAAAATGAACGGCATATACAAAGATGGGAGGACCGTGACAAACTTGACAAAATAGCGAAAGCCAGTGTGACTGGAGTGTGAAGTGGAACACCCTCTGGTGGGAGGTCAGGGGTGAGGGTATGTGTAGACCACAGGTGAGGATAAAAAAAATAACCATTTAAGTGGTTTGTCAGGGCTGGGTAGAGGGAGGACAGGAGACGGTAGGAGTCAGTAAGAATTGACATAATCAGATTGATGTTTCCAAGGAATCAATCTGTTTTCCAAAGTTGACATTATAGAGTTTAGTCAGGCAGAGGTCATTGACAGCTTTAGGGCGAGTTTTTAGTGACATGGGGTAGACAGATATTTGGATGTATGAAGTCCAGGAGGGAATTAATAGTTAATAAAAGGACACAGCACATGGAGGAAGGTAATTAAGAAACTATTAAATATAAATGTATTACTTATTAGTCAATACCAGGAGTAGTAAACTGTGAAATAATTTGTGTGTGTGTAAACAATTGACCAAGTAATTATACATGGAGAAAATGAATTCCGATTGTATTTAGGCTTGAATGCCATGCTCATTGCATATATTTCAACCAAAAATTGCCAAGGTGTCCCACTTCTAGGATTGATAATTAGGCCAAATAATAATAAAGTAGTCTTATGGCATGCATCAAATACGATGGGTCACAATATAGCTGATCTGCCTTTTAACACAGGTTCTGGTTTCTGCTTGAATATGCTTCCTCCCTTGGGGGAAGTCTTGCAAGAGGCTGCTGTGATCATACATACGGACCTTGCAGTGTGCTTCTCTGTTATCTGCAAACACTCCCAATCCATAGCTTAAGATTTTCACAGATGGCCCCGAATGGAAGGAAGCCTTTCCATCTGTAATTCAAATTGAATATGAAGGTAAGGAACTTTCTCCATTTTTTAAAATAGACTCTCCCAAATTTTCCTTTGGCCCCCACCACACTGTCTGAGTATTTTAAATGCATTGTTTTCTATGCATGCAGAATTCAACTCTTATCTAGAATGGACAAAAGCACGAAGCATCTTCAAAGCCACCCCATCTCATTTCCTGTTATATCAAATGCATCAGATCTAAATTCTTTTGCCATCACTTGCCACAGATAATAGCACATTCCCACACTGAAGTCAATATAAAAGTTTATGATGTTATTGACTTCACACAGCTCCATCAGAACTCAGTATTATTGATTTAATGACTCTTTCCTCTTCCTTTTTTTTTTTTAAATTCAACTCCACAGTTACCTCATGGTTTATTGGAGTGCCAGAGCTCAGAGCTTTTTATTACATATCTGCAAGCTTATTTCTAAGGATGCCTGCCCATAAATTACTCACCAACCGTTCAAATGCAGAGCCAGAATATAATAAATATCAAGAAACTGGAAGAAACCAGCTTAGGTGGAGCTCAAATCTCTTCTTGCTCTTTGCCTGTTGAGTGTATACTTCCTAGTAAATAAAAAAAAAAAAGTAATTTAAAGGAAAATGTCACCTGGCATGTGGTATATCTGTGCCTCATAGCAGATGGCATGGTTCTGCATGGGGAGACGGATGAAATGCCACATGCATGGCTGGAATGGGAGGATTTTGAGCAAGTGGCATTCCTGGGAAGCTAGCCGGCAGGCTCTGACATTAACGGTTTTATTAAGTTCAGCTGTGGGCTAGAGCAGTCTTTGCTTCCAATGTTTGGTAGTGTTTTAATGACTGTCCCTCTGGTCCATGCAGGGTGGTGTGAAAAGTAATTGTAGCGGGTGGGAAGATTGACAGGATTGAGGTGGATGGGGAGATGATCTGCCTTATTCTAACTTTTTCATTTACTCAAGAAGAAAGGAAAACGTGGACAAATTACTCAAAGACCGGGATTTAAAAAGAGATGATCCGAAATAGGTGACACCGTGTCCCATTTTGAAAATTTTCTAAATTATACTTCCAATGAATCCTGCATTGTGTACGGAAATTGCACGCCCTACTGTGAAGTCATAGTCAGGAAGAAAGTGAGTTTGCAAACACACTGACCTCCAAAGACGCTTAGCGTGCATTTAGCAGCATGATATTTGCAAATATTAGGGTGTCATCCACAAGCACCAGGAGTGGTTTTTCTCTAGTTTCTATTTCAAATGACTCTAAGAAGGGAAGACATGAAACTGCATGATTAGAGTTTATTATATTGTGTTTACCTGTTGACCACATTATGTGGTAATACCTGTTTTCATTGTAAAGAGGTTGTTCTGATGCTTTTGAATTTTGTCATTTTAAGACAGCCTTGGGTGATAATGGATTGTGCTTTCAGCAGCTCAGCAGAGCTGTTTGCTTCTCTAATCATTTCCCCAAAGGACTGTAAACAGCACACAGCATCCCTGGACTTCAGTGTAGTCCTCTGTCTAGTGTAAACAGATGTGTGCTGTTCCTAGTAATGGTGTCCTTATGCCCTGTAAGCTGGAAGAAGTAGATTCTGCCATTGGATGAGCTGATAATTAGGTGTATATAGGATTGCAAGTTTTTGCATTTTTCCTTTGCTACTTGACATCAAGCACCACTAACATAAGATGAAAATCATGTCTACAAATCTATGCCATGAAGCTTTTTCCTACACAATACTGAAGTAACCATAGTTATGTGCCCCATCATGCTATCTGGGGCAACAAAAACTGCATATACAACAGTGGTCCCAGAAGACTATAATGGAGTGGAAAAATTCCTATCTCCTCGTTACACTGTAGCTGTCAATGTCGTAGCACAATTACTTAATCAGAAATAAATTTAGTGTAGCCTAAGTGCACAGCGTTTCTAAAGTCTACAGTAGTGAAGCAGTGATGTCCTAGGCCTTCACATTCAATCACTACTCATTCACTGAGTCACCCAGAGCAACTTCCAGTCCTGCAAGCTCCATTCATGGGAAGTACCTTAGACAGGGGTATCATTTTTTTAGCTTTTATATTTTTACTGTATGTTTTCTATGTTTAGATACGTTTAGATACACAAGTATGTACCATTGTATACAGTTGACTACAGTGTTCAGTACAGCAACATGCTGTACAGGTTTGTAGCATAGGAGCAGCAGGCTATACTATATAGCCTAGGTGTGTAGTAGGCTATACCTTCTAGGTTTGTGCAAGTATGATGTGTACACAGGAAAAACATTGCCTAACCATGCACTACTCATAACATATCCCTTTTCATTATGTGATACATGCCTGTCTTTAATTAATATATTCAGCCAAACCAGTTATATTGACATGGAAATATCCAGTAACATCTACTGTTGAACTAGAGGTGTTAGTATTATGTCAATGTGGTCTAAAACAAATGCGTTTTATTATGTGTAAATGAAGAAATGTAATACAGAAAGCTGTCAAAAGCCATATTTAGCTGGGTAGCTTTATGCAAATTCAAATTTTATTCTCCATTCCTCACAATCTTTTCAGTCTCTTTTCTGTTTTCTTAGCCTTTTTGAAGCACAGCTACTCACTTAATACCTTTAAAATTATGACAAAAGGCAGTTTCCAAAATGTTTATGTTGTTTTCCTTTTAAAGTAGAATAATAATTATTTTTAAAGCAATAATAGTTAGATGTAAATAAACTTTAATGCATATGGATGAACTGCAAGTACACACATTACAGCTGAAATCCAAAATGCCCCCGGTATACTTACTGCATACGGAATTACATTTTAAGTGACCTATTTTCTTAGTTATGAGAAATGTGCATTTTCCCACACTACTATAATATATTTTTCTATATTTTACTCCTTTCCTTAGTGAGGCAAAGATGTCATGTGGTTAAATATGTAAAAATGGGAAATAAAATTAGAAACATAAATAACCAGAACAAAATTTGGAGCTTTGGAAAAAGAAAAAAAAATCATTTGAGTATATATAGAATGTTCTTTTTTTTTAAAAAAAAAAAAGGTTTGTTTTCATCTATCAAGAAAGTTGCCCAGAAATTTAACTCAGGCAATTTCAGATTGTGATTCCTGAGGCGAAGAAATGTCCCTCAAAACCAAGCCTACTGAATTAAAGTATGAAATCTGCAACTCTCCCGTGGTCATGTGAAGAGGACAGTGGTGTTCGCCCTTGTACTGCCCGACCCCCACACCTCTTTGAAGCCACTGACTTAACCAAATGTTTTTTTTCTTTTTTTAATTTTTTTTTCCTTTTCTTTCTTTTTTTTTTTTTTCTTTTTTAGAGACAGGATCTCACTATGTTGCTCATGCTAGAGTGCGGTGGCTACTCACCAGTGTAATTGTCTTGTACTTCAGCCTTGAACTCCTGGGCTCAAGCAATCCACCTGGCTCAGCCTCCTGAGTAGCCGGGACCACCAGTGTGCAACACCACACTCACCTTTAACCCCTGTTTCTAACTTGAAGCCTCCTCACCTTCCCCTTCTCTTTGAGACAGGCATTTGCTTGCTAAACAATACACAAAGCTGCACTGGGCAGAAAATGAAATTGACTAGACAGATGATAAGTAGATGATAGATGATATTAACAAGAGTTGTAGTGTGGTACTTTTATTCTCAGTTGATTTCAAGTTTATTGATACATTTGATGAACTCTAAAAATATCTGAACGGTATTCTAATATAAATATTAGGAGAGTTAATACTAAGATGCTCAGGCTATGTCGTGGGAATGTGGCTCTGTGCCTAGAATAGATCAAAGGAGCTGATCTTCCTACACAGCATCTTCTAGTTTATCATTACTATAGTAAACCCAACTTCCTTTGACCCTCATGTTGTTTCTGTGAGGTCTTTAGCATCCAGAAGAAACCTTAGAAATATTAAAAACAGGAGCCATACTTGCATCAAATAATCAGAACTCGGGAGGCAGCAAACATCATTCTAAGGCTCTTATAGTGGGCATTAATCCTTTAGATGCTAAATGTGGGGAGTTCAGGGCATCCCAGGGCAAGAGTAGATTAGCACGGGCACTGGTGGTGGGGAGGGGAGTTGGGAAGAGGGCACCCAAAGGGCAGTGGCTACTTATCAACAAGTGTAGAAGTACTTCATTATCTTAACAAACAGTATGAAACACTGGAGCATGTTCATGAACGCCTGCCACTATGGTTTGAATGTTTGTGTTCCTCCAAAATTCATATTGAAACTTACTCCCCAATGCAACAGTAGTAAGAGGTGGGGCATTTAGGATGTGATTAGAGCATGAGGGCTCCAATCTCATGAATGGGATTAGTGTCCTTAGAAAAGGGCTTGAGGGAGTCTGTTTGGCCCTTTTAGCCCATCTGCTTTGCTCCTGTGGATGCAGTAAAAGGTGCCGCCATCTTGAAAGCAGACATGAAGCCCTTGATCTTGGATGTCTCGGCTTGTGGAATTGTGGGAAATAAATTTCAATTATTTACAAGTTTCCAAGTCTGAGGTATTTTGTTGTAATGATACAAATGGACTAAGATGCCTACCTTTTGTAGTATCTCCTGAATATGTTGTTTACACATTAGTGTCTTTGTTCTGTTCCATTTTTTCTACATAAATGGAAAAGATAACATAACCACATTAAATTACTGGTTTAGGAGTTTGAAGGTTTTGTATTTTAATCCCAGCACCATCACGAAATAAGTACTATGATTTTGGTCAAAGCACTTATCTCTTTAAAGTCAGTTTCCTTTTCTGTAAAATGAGGATTATAATATGTTTTGAGTATTTAAAATAACTGTGGGGAAAGTTACTAAAAGGTAACTTTTATTGAGTATTCAATAAGTGCTAGGGTTTATAGTAAATACTTTGTAAGGAATAACTCATGTAAGTTTCATAACCTTCTAATGATATAAACACTATCTTCACCTTTTTATAGATGAAAGAAGTAAGGCATAAACAGGTGAAGAAATTGCCTAAGATAACAGCGGTGATTATGATTTGGATTTGAACCTGGGAAATCGATCTCCATGTTCTTCCCTGGTAACCTCCAGTGCTGTCTTTGTAAGAAGGCCTTTTGTATAATACAACATCCTATACGTGTAGAAAACACTGTCATTTTCAATATTATTTTTTTAATCATTACCTTTGGCTGTTTTTCACAACTAGAAAGAGAAACTAAGAATATTCCTAGTGCTTCCACAAATGATTATCAGCCCAATTTAGAGGCTTGGCTTTGCAAAGCATTTTTGATTATAGAATCTGTAGGAGTGCAATTGCTACACTCGGTTTTTATCTGCAGGTTGTTGCTATTGGTGTATTTTAGTTCATTTATATTAGAATCAATGCTTTGCTTGATAGACCATAAACAATCATATTGAGCCAGAATATACTTTATTCATCAAGAATACCTGATCCAGCATTGCTGAATACTCAGCAATCCTGTTACTCAGGCTCAACAGTGATACTGATAGCAAAACCATTAACGTTTGAGTGTTTATCATGTATCAAGGGCTAAGCACTTTGAACACTCTGTTTGATTAAATATTTCTAACAAAATTCTAAGGTAATTTTTTATTAC